CATAACACTAAAAACACCAGCGATAATAACTACCGCACTCAACGGTTTCCGATCGCCCGTTGCCTGCGTGTGCACTCCCAAGGCCTCACCACAGACCCCGAGCGTCTGACAAACAGTAAATAAGTGGGTACTGCGTCAGCTCCTGCAGCTCCTCACAGAGGAGACTGAGGCACTGAGGTGATGCACGAGGTGGACTCACCCGGCTAGTGAAGCGCAGCCTTGCAAGCCGGGCTCCCGCACGGCAGCGTCCTCGTCCGTCCGCAGCCCCGCATTCCCCGCTTTGGTCCCGACGTCTGCTTGCTCGTCTTTCTACCGCTCGGAGCGCTCCGGAGCGGTCTCTGCGAGGGGATTCTGCCTTGTGTGGGCAGTAGATAATTACAAAATGAGAGCGAGTGTTACAGAGTGGACTCCAGATGGAACATGGATGAACCCTGAAAACATGCTAGAAGCCAGGCACAACCACGTATTGTGCGATTCCATTTATACGAAATATCCAAAATAGGCAAATCAATAAACACAGGAAGTTAATGCGTGGCCCCGGGCACTAGGGTAGGAGGAACTGGGAGTGATTGCTGATAGCTAATAAGTATGTGCTGGAATTGGTGGCGATGGTTGCACCACCTAATAAAATATACTAAAGGCCGCTAAATTGTGTGCTTTTAAGTGGATTTTATGTTATGTGAATTATATCTCGATTTAAAGTAATTGTGAAATGTTCCACCGTGGGACCGTGCTGTTGGGCGAGGTGTATACCAGAGCAAAATTCAGCCCTTTGAGTCCTTCCAGAGCCTTTGGGGGGGTCCCCAGACTCCCAAGTGCAAGGTCCCTGTGGGGCTGTTCTTCCAAAATCCTGGCATCAAGCTCTTCGCTGAGTTCTGCATCAGCATCCTCCCTTTGTTTAAACTGGCTGTAAATCTCGTCTAAATCCATAGGTGCTGGAACGCACCTCTGCTACCACCTGCTGGGGAAACTCCTCCCAAGCAGGGCCTGGGGGACACACCAATGCTAAGTAATCCCTCTTGCTTCTACACACCTGCTTTTTGTCTATGTAACGGGAATCACAACACTACGTGGTGTTTTTGTTTGTTTTGCAGTTCTGGGATTGAACCTAGGATTTTCACACTAAACTACACCCCCATCCCTTTTTGCTAAATCGCTTCCATTGCCCAGGCTGCAATGAACTTGTGGGTTTTTGGTTTTTTGGTACCGAGGAATCGAACCGGGACCTCGCGCTTACGAGGCAGGCAACTGCACCACTGAGCTAAATCTCTGGTCCTCCACTGAACTTGGGATCCTCCTGCCTCAATCTCTCAGAGTGCTAGGATTACAGGCATGTACCACCATGCCCAGCCTGTTTTTTAAACAAGGTCTCTCTGTGCAGTTCAAGCTGGCCTTGAATTATATTATGTAGCTCAGGTTGGCCCCGAACTCTCAGTGCAGTAGATAAGTACAACATGAAAGCAAGTGTTACAGAGAAGATTCCAGACAGAACATGCCTCCCAAGTGCTAGAATTACAGGTGTGTGCCACCACTTCCAGCATTAATAGGGAGCCCTGGAGAACAGAGTTTGGAAACACGGGCACAAGTTTCTGGGTGTCGGGTGCCAGGAGGAGTGAAGAAGCTATGGGCTGGGTGCAAAAGCCCCAGGGGGGGTCCTGAGACACTTGAGGAGGTTTCAGAGTGCTGTGTGAGGCAGAATGTGGAGCTGGGTAGGAAGCAAGCACATCTGGGGCAGGTGAACGACTCCGGAAACAGGGAATCCCAAGGACCCCAGGCTAGAGTTGGAGAGAAGAGTCTAAGAGGGTCAGAGAAGTGGGAAGGAACTAAACCAACATGCATGGAAGTTGAGGCACAACTACTGTACGAGGAGAGGTTAGCAGGAGTCTGGGCTCTGTGAACAAGGTAGGGACTGGGGAGCATTGCTAGGGGCCCCTCCACACCTCCTGGGCCCACTCATGCCTTAGGACGTACAGACCTCTCCATAGCTTCCCATCTCCTCACCTTTCCCCACGTTGTCCCCTCTGCCCAGACTGCGTCTGTCTCATTTGCAGGCATTTGTGTACTTCCAGACTCCCCTCCACAAAGCCTGCTCTCCGGGCCACTTCATATGTGTTCATTTGCACGCACAGCCCTTCAGGGACACAAATTATGAGAAGCCAACTGCAAGCAGAGCATTGTTTCAAGTCTGTCAGTGGCCCTAGTGAGTGACTCCCCGGCGTCATCCTGTCCCTGACCACCGCCATATCACCTGTGTGTGTAAACTTCCTGGATTAGAGCGCTAAAGGTGTGGTGTTTGCCATTGACCTCGAACGTGGCACATTTCATGGATGAGTTGATAGGAAGCCAAACACCAGCAGGTTGGTGGCAAGTGAAGAGTGTCGACGTGGCCCGTGGCCCACTGTTTAGAAGCTTGGCTATGGAAGAGAAAGGCAAAGCACAGGAATGGCTACATTCTTTTCTCAACAGAGGAAAGACTCAAGAAGGTGTGCGGGCCAAGGGAAGGATATTGGCACAGAGGGAAAGGTGAATAACGCGGGGCAGTATTGGGGGTTTAGTGGTGGAAATTTCTTCACAGGCGGAAGGGAGGAAATCTGCATTCTCCGCTTTCCCATCATTTCATTTTCGTTTTTATTTTTTGTTATCAGGGATTGAACTCAGAACCTTGTGCTTGCAAGGCAGGTGCAGTGGCAACACTGAGCTAAATCCCCGGCCCTCTTTCATCACTTCTTTTTTAAAGCTCATTTCATTCTTTCAGAAATGCATGTGCTCAATCCACTCACTCTTAGGCCCTTAGCATAACTTTCTTTTCCTTTTTTTTACTTGAGACAAGATCTCACCGTGTAGTTTAGACTAGGCTTGAACTCACTATGTAGCCCAGGCTGGCTTCAAGCTCACGGAAATCCTCCTGCCTCAGCCTCCTGAGTGTTTCAATTACCTATGAGTTGAGTTCTATTAAAATCCTTTAGTTTTAGCTTGACTTGTCCCATGTTAATCACTGGATCGTTCATTGTGTCCTGATGTCCCTTTGATATGCTACCGTTATAGTCTGCCCCTATGAAATTTGTTTCAAATGCTGTTTTTTCATTTCTATGAGAGATTACTGATCATAGTGTATACCATTTTTACTACACTTCTGGGTTATGTTTTGGCAGTACTTTCTTTAGGATGCTTTATTAAGAGCAGTCTGTAGTCTGTAGTCTGCAGTTTTCTTGGGATGGCTCTCTGACTTTAGGGTTAGGGTAACACTGAAATAGTACAATGAGTTGGGACAAATTCTTATTTGTTGGAGATCGATCGATGGAAAACTTCAACTTTTAGTATAATGTGAGCTCTCTAGATTTGGTCTTCTGTTTTTACCTGATTTTTGATCACGGATTCGATGTATCTCCTTTATTTGTTACACCTCCGTTCCTATTCTCTATCAATTTTTCAATTACTTTTAGATATTTACTTTTAAAAATTTGTCCATTTCCTATGTTATTTAACTTGTACACTTCTTAGTATTTTCTTTTGGGTACCCTTCTCAGATCTTGCTAAGAATACTCACGGTGATATTTTTGATACTGTTTTTCTTTTTATACCTTTGCTGTGGGGCCAAATTTCCTACGTCTCCCTGCCAGGTGGCTCTGAGCCACCAGTGGGGCATGCGTGACTGTCCCATCAGGCTGCATGGGACAATCGTGCATGCACCACTGGTGGTTGAAGCTTGCAGGAATGTGTTTGTTTAACTAAAGGATTTTCCTGCCGATATTTTCAAAGGAACGAGTTTTGGTTTTGTTGTTTTCTTATCATGACATTCTGTTTCCTCACGTGGTTTTTAGTAAGTCCTTCCTTCTGCTAAGGATGGGTGTATTTCTAGTTGGGTTGGGTTTGTTGTACTAGCAAAGGTCTAAAGGGAGCTTTCTCCTTTCTCACTGGTTCATCAGTCTCTTTGCCAGCAGTAAGGAAACCTCCTCCACTGGGGGGGCACTTTTGAATTTCAGCACAGGAGGTTTCTCCATGAAGCCTGTGGTGTTGAGTTTATAGCCATCTGAGGAAAAGAATGACTCAGAAAAGACCACATCAGAGTCAGACACTGTAACGGAGTCAGAGCTCACAGCTCTGAGGACAAACGAGCAGGGAAGACAGCTGGACTGAGACGGATGGCGCATTTCCGAGCCTCCACTTGGCCCCGGGATCCCTGAGGCCAGCTCAGGATCTGGGGCTGACGGGCACACAAGGCTCACAGGTAGCATCTAGGAGCAAGTGGATGTTCTCTCCGGGGAGCTTTGGCCTCTTAAACCCCGCAGGAGCAGGCCCTGAGCTACTGGAGGGTGATCTGGTGGCTCGTGCAGCAGTTGTACAGAGGCCTCCGAGGCCTGGACAGAGGCTGAGGTGGCCCTAAAGGCCAGCTCCCTCCTAACTCTGCCCTCACGAGAGGCAGGGAGGCCAGGGTTAGAGGCCAGCTTGGGTGAGTGGTTGGAGGCAACCTTGCTCGTCATGACTCCGGGTCCCATGGTACTGTGTGGTGCTTGGGGGTCCCTCTTCCTATGCCAGAGGTGCTCGGCGCCTCAAAGGTAGTTTTAACACCTGGGGGCATCTGTTTCCCTCCATAGCCCTTTGCTGTAGCTGAAACTGCCACATCGCTGAGCCTGAGCTTTGGTGGGGGACCTTTGAAAAGCGCTGTCTGTTGTGCTGGACTGGAATCACGGCACTGGGCCTGTGGGTGTCTGAGGCTGAGGGAGAGGCAGTGGACGTCCCAGGAGGGAAACGAGCCTGGGTGACATAGAGAGCACCTGGGAGCGGTCGTGATTCCCTGGGCTCGTGTTTGTGGATGAGGAATCCCCAAGGGCTGCCCGTGTTGTGTCGCTCAAGACTGGCCAGCCTGGAGTAGAGGTTGGGGCCAGTCCTGGGGTTGGAGCTGCCAGGGCTGTGAAGTGGAGGACAGGTGCACGGTGCTGCTGCCCACGCACGGCCCCAGGTGCTTGCTAGAGGCAGACTTAATGCAGTGTTTCCCTCGTGTGGCCTGGTGGCTGGAACTCAATGCTGGCAGAGTGGAGGCTTCGGCTGCACTGCCCCTGGGCACGGCACAGTCACCTATGCAGAGGGAAGGGAGTTACCCCCGGAGCCAGCAGGAGGCCCCAGGGGGAAAGGATCAGGGTGCGGGGCTGGTATCCATAGGGGTGACCCCCGTGTCCGTCCCTGACTGGGGAGCGGAGCCTATGGAAGTACCAGCTGAGGCGCTGCCACCCTGAGCAGAAGCAGAGGTCGAACGACTTTGGGAGACCTGGGCAGCGGCATGAGAGTGGCTCTGCAAGGCAGCAGGAGGGGTGAGGACTCCATCCTGGAGGTGCTGGGAAGGCAGACCCGGGACCTGCCGCTGCTCCCTGAGAGGCCCTGGGCCTCTGCGGGCCTGGATCTCCCCCACTCTTCGTGGGCCCCCACTTTTTCTTCCTCTGGGGTAAGGCTTGCCCAACTGAAGGCCCGGGCAAGGCAGGAGTCTTGCCTCTCCCGATGTCGTCCTTGCCAGCAGCAGGAGATGGAAAAGATGTCACCGAGGAGCTGGGGGCCGGGGCTGTGGCTGTGAGGTGTGAAGAGGGCCCCGGAAGGGGCTGTGAGCTCGAGAGAGGAGCAGCTGAAATGTGCTTCCTTCCAGACCCAGGGGGCCCCAGGGTGGCCATAGCAGCAAATGCCAGGTCAGCCCCTGAGACCTCCAGGTTTCTGCTCTCTTTCTTCCCTGCATTCCTGTTGGGCACTGGAGGGACAGAAGGTGGAGGAGCAATCCGGGGGGCAGGCAAGGGAGTAGAGCAGGGAGGCCGTGTGGTGTTGCTACCTTGGGGGCCTGCGACCACTTACCCATCAGCATCCTGTTGACGAAGCAGTGCTGCCTCCTTCTCCCGAGCTGTGTGTTCAGCCGTCACCTGGTAGCTTAGCTCGGGAGGTGACGGTAGCACCAGCGGGTCCCCTCGCCTGCGCCTCAGAAGGGGGATCTTACGTATTCCTGGCCCGGCTCCCTCCATCGTAAGCACGCAATCCCTCCTTGTTTCTGCCTGCCCTGGTGTGACGTCTGCCGTTTTCTTGTTCCCAGTCTCCTGGGAGACTTCTGGGGCTGAACGTGAATCCCGGACGCCCTTCTCCTCTGGATTTGTGGAGGACCCGAGAAGTGGCCTGGGGCGCGTCGTGGCCGCACCTCTCCCCGGTCCTGGTAACCCTCCGGTGGAGCTGTATGAACAGCTGACGGCATTTCGCCGCATCAGCCCGCTCGCGCAGGAGGGCTGGGCGCCAGGGTCACCTTCATCTCGGGACCTCTGCCCACAGAGGTTTCGAGGCAGAGGCCCAGGCCTCGGGACAAAGGCAGTCGGGCCTCGCTGGCCTACAGCAGGCTCGAAGGCCGATGGTGGGGTCCCAGGACCACCCGTGCCCCTCCGGTGCTGAGCCTGCTGCTCCATGAGCCAGAGCTCAGTGCTGAGGGAGGAGCTACAGGGGCCCGAAAACTGCCTGCAGGGAGCACCAGCGCTCTCTGGAGACACCTCCTGGTCGGGGTAAGGGCCACGGGAATCTGCCGGGAATAGGAACGGTGCTTTTTGTTTTGGATACTCTTCCCCTAAGCTGATGTGGGACGACTAGAAGTGGACCCACGGGCACGGGTGGCCTAGGCGGGTGCTCTCACCCAGGGTTCTCGGGCAGGGGTGGCGAGGGGCCCAGGCAATGAGTCCTTGGGGCACACGCCCCCCACCGGGAGGGGGGATTTGCTGGGCTGAGGGGCAGCTAGCTGAGGAAACTGCCCACCAGAGCCGTTTGGGGAATGCGGGCTACTTCTTTTCCAAAAACAGGCGGAGCGGGGTCTCGGAGCGGCCAACTGCTCCAGTCCCAACCGTAATGATGCTTTGTTGCTGGGACACCGCAGGGAACCCAGACTGCTCGAGCAGGCGGCTGAGCGAGACCCCACGCGCACCAACGGTGGAGAGCAGCAAGCAGCGTGGGTGTTTGCAACAATTCGCAATTTACCAGGAGGCGTCACCCTCAGCATGTGGTCTTCGCCCTGCTGCCCTTGGGGAAGACTGGTGCCGGAGCACAAGATGCTGAAGGGCTGCAGACAAAAAGACTGCAGGTTTGTCCCCTTTAGCCGGTGGGGTTTCCGGCCCCCCTCCCAAAAGAGGGCGCTCGCCAAAGGGGAATGAGCTGGGGCAATTCTAGCAGTCCCGCGGGGGCCCCAGGGCGGTGGCCGGGGACTGTCGGGCATGGTCCCTGATCTTGAGAGGATGGACTCGGAGCAGACTTCCTGCCTGGGCCGCTTCTGGGTAACTTGAAAACTTTTGCATCAGAGCTCGTGAGTCTTCCTGCCCTTACCCCATATATGAACTTAGGTATAACCCATCTCATTGATCCAAATACTTCGCATTCAACTCTTTTTATTCCTGAAGTTCCTACCTTTTCCTGTTACTTACCTTCAACCCGAAGAAATTGCTTTTGTGTATTTCTGTACTCAGCAAGTTTTCTAGTAATAAATTCTCTCCAGTTTTCTTTCCCCTCCATCAGCCTTTGTATTTATTTTTGTTTGGCCCTCAAGGCTGATACCTCCATACACATACAGTATGTGGGGTGGTTTTTCTTTCTGCTCTGAAAGATGTTCTTTCAGTCTCTCCTGGCTGGTGTATGTTTTGACAAGAAGCCTCAGACTTTCAAGTTGTATTTCTTGGTACTGGACATGTCGCTTTCTCGGAAAACTTTCAAAACTCGTCCTCACCCTTGCTCTTTATTGGGTCGAGCATGTGCCGGGTGAGACTTTCTCGGATTTTTCATGGATTTCTGACTTCTTTCGGTTACTGGCGCACTTTAGATACACGTAATGATACCATTCGTCGTAGGGAATTGTACCTGTACATCATATATATTATTTCACTTTTTCCCATTCCCTTCCCTTCAACTCCTCCTCCCCTCTTTACCTACAAAATCCTGTTTCCATGTTTTCCTTCCATGCTTTTTTCTCCCTTTTACAGTAACCTTCCCTCTCAGCACTGCTTTCCTTGTGTCCCCTAGGTTCCAGGGTGTTGCACTGGCACTGTCATTTGCTTTCCAGAAATTCTTTAGATTCCTCTTCACTGAGTACTCAGGAGTGTGTCATGAAGATTTGGGGTGTTACTACATTTTCTGTGGCTGATTGCTATTTTCATTGCACAGTGGTCTGATAGTAAACAGGTGATTTCAGTTCTTATTTATTTCAGCAGGCTTTGTGGACGAGTACGTCTGCTTTGGAGAAAGTTCTGTGTGCTGCTAAGAAGAATGTGTGATCTGTTGTGGTGGGGTAACAATCTGTAGATGGTTATTAGGAGTCCATATGTTCAAGGGTATGGTTCAGCTCTGATTTTTTAGTTCATTTTTTTGTTTAGGTGATCTCTTTGCATAAATGGGGTATTGAGGTCATCCGCTCTGATTGTGTTAGTGTTTATTTGATTTTTGTTTTGTTTTGTTTTTTGAGACAGGGTCTCACTATGTAGTTCAGACTGCCCTGGAACTCACTGTGTAGCCCAGGTTGGTCTCGAACTCACAGTGATCCTCCTGCCTCAGCCTCCAGAGTGCTGGGATTACAGGCATGCGGCGCCACGCCTGGCATTTTTTT